AAACAATTAATAATTACAGTTTTCTTATCGGTTAGATTAGTTTTATTCTAACCGATAAGAAAACTATAATTATTTATCTTTCTTGTTTTTTTATATACATATATTAGTAGTCCAAATTTTTATTATAAATACTTTAATTTTATAGTAAAGGATTTTTCATTCTGTATAGTCAATAAATAGATAAATGAAAATATTTGTTGATAAAACAAACACAGTCAGCATCCTCTTAAAAATAGAATTTATGTTCATATACATATAACATTTTTTATTTAGAATGACCTCCCAAATAATCTGTCAAAGTATTTTATACTCGTTCTGAATCACTTTGTATATATTTTATTTTTCCTCCTCAAAGGAGGAAAAATTATTAACGTGAGGAGAATTACATTTTTTGAGAAAAATTAGAAAATATTAAATCGCATTGCTTCAATTGCAACACGTAGTAATTTTACTTCTCTTAGAAATAATTCATATGTAATAATTACAAAGACAATCACTAATTAAAGACACAAGTTAAAACAATCAAAAATTGTAAATATATTTGTTATACGATCGCGCAACAATTGTGCCAACTTCATCGAATACTTCCAATAAATTCGCTCGAAGAGATTTCCGTCGCGTCGGAGACCTGCTTGTGACCCGCTGAAATAAATAAAAAAAAAAAAGAGAGGAAGGGCCAGCGGCATTCATTAATAAGCGCAACACCTCGTCGGCGCGCGCGGCCCACGTCTTCATTAGCGGCGTGGTCGGGGCGCGCGATCCATTAGTTTCCCAGCAGTAACACGTGCATCGTTAAGAGCACGATATTTAATTAAGCGTCGAATAATTGGAAATATTTCTCGGCAAAACGCACACGCCGCGGGGTAATTAAAAACTGGGATCATTACGCCTCTGCGCCTTTTCCCTTTCGACGGATTATGCATATATGTATACACGAATGGATGGATATATATGATTATTGCGTGAGATTTTTCCGGCGCCCCCGGCGACGACTCTTCCCCGATTTCGCCGCGTGGGAGTCGCACAGGTGCATCCTCAACTCTGAACTCGCGCGATGATTCAGCGCCGCAGCGCGCCGGTTCGGCTCGGCCACGATGTAATTCTCTCCTCTCTCTTTCTTTCTTTCCGCGGTATATCATCGACTTGCGCCGATGATCACGTCGATAGACTATTCGTTGTTCAACCGATGACGTGGCGTTTTATGATTACTCCGCGTGTTACTTTATCTCGAAACGAGTTGCGACTTACACGAGCGGATCGACTTATGTTAGTGCTTCGTTTATGTTTGACGGATAGCCGACGTATTTAATATTGGTCATAAAAGAGTACCTTTATTATACAAAAAGGGTGTCCCGCAACGTGATGTCCATATTGGAACTGGGTATTCTTAGTGTCATTCTAAGTCGAAAAGACTTAATACACATGTGCCCTAAAGTCAATTGTTTTAAAGTTACAGCGTAAAAACAAAATTGCATAAAATAAGAAGAGTATTTATTTATTGAACGATAATATTAATTAATAATTAACTATTTTATAAATTGTGCGGTAAAGTGTAAGGCAAACATTGAATCGTTGAGAAATAAGACACTTTTCGCATGCTAAACAGCAATCGAAAATCTTTTCGTACTTCTAGTCTTTTGTTACATTAATTTGATAAAATTAAAAATGCTCTACGATTGCAATACCTACATACATCAAAGATCCCAGGGAAATTTAATTTTATATGAAAAATGTGTGAAAAATAATTACGAAATTACATTTTTTTCTTATCTTCTTCTATCTCGATATGACGTCTCGAATGACAGACGAGCTGTCAACTTATCACATTATGTGCTTCATGTCAAAAATATACATTTTATATTAATATGAACACAATAAGTTTCCTGGGAAATTAAGATACACGAAAGAAAGCACTATTATCCTCTAAATCTAGATTAGAAGTCTAATATACAAGTATAGTTTGTATTACGATTCGTACGTATGTGTGCGTGCATTGCAGATATAGTAAAGAAAAACAGCAATATATATTTACATTCAAACCTATAATAGTATTAAATGTAGCAAAAAGTGATTCCATGTATACATGGATTTCTAATACATGTTTGATTTGGATGATTTATAATGTGAAATTCAAAATATCAGTAATTATTCTTCGAAAATCACTCGATAATTACGATATTTTTAATTCCAAAATGAGGGCACTACTATTTTGGTGGAGTTCATTCGCTGAGAGATCCTCTTAAACAGCAATCGAAAATCGATGTTCCGTGACTGGCATTACAAAAAACAATTGCTTGAGTTATTATAGTAAAAAAATAAATAATAAAACAGTGGCTTTTGACTGATTGCCAAAACGTCGAAATTTAATCGAAATTCCTTATGTATAGCATATCCATCATGTTATTTTCGAAAATAGATTTAATATAGACACCTTATCGCGTAATCGACAAATCGAACGTCTCCACCCTCGCTTATAAAATCAGCTCGAGGCGTACTTCCTATTCTCCCTGCCGTCTGACATCTCGTAAAAATGATTTAACCCCTGGTCGTAACGCGCTCTGTTTCTCTCCGCACAGCCGCCTTTTAACCGCAGCGTTCTTTTAACGTTAATAATCATTGGTCTCGGCTCACGCTAAGATCACAGATTCGAGAGGGACGCGGACGTGAAGCCGCGCCCGAGTTATCGGGGCGCATCTGTCCCGTAAATGGGTGCAGGATTTATGGTGCGGACCAACACGCGTCCGGAATCATTATCTCGACTCGGCGCGAGATATTTATACGTGCAACCTTGGCGGCTCTCAGCACCCTGTCATTATCCGCGCGCGCTTCCGACGATTTCGTCGCTTCCTCGAAAAAGCGAATTAACGAATTAAGAACATTGATGTATTTATGTACATTTTACGGACAGAAAACACAGCGATTTTGTCGATGGAGATATCTCGCTGTGTACGAGTCATATTCTTTACTGATGAACTCGAGAGGCGTAATTCATGTAATATTCGCCGATTATCGTCTTATAATTTTCTTGTCCGTTTTCGATCGTTGTTGAATTTGAGGAATTAATTTCTTTCAATTTTTATCCATCGAGGTATTCAATGAATTTATTTAGTTTTTACTGTGCTGATATAAAAGTAATTGGAAGTAGTTTCAGAGGTTAAAGATGAAGTAATAAAGTCATAACCTTAGAGCAATTAATTAGCAACAAAATATCATGATTCAATCGTTGCACAATGTTATGATAGTCAAATGTTTTTAACAAAATTGACCGTATTTGGTCTGCTTTTTTTAGACAAACTAATACCAATAATAATACCAATTCAGCCACAGTTAAAAAATTTGTATTAAATATAACATATATAACATGTTCCAAATGGTCTACAGAAATTTTGTTAATTTAACATAATATGGATATGTTAAATAAAAATACAAATACCGTATTAATATTTTAACACAAAACAAGTAATTTGAAACAAATTTTGTGTAAAATTAACATAGAGTTTTAATGTAAAAATTAACTGAAAATATATTAATTTTAGATTTTATCATCTCAACTTATACTATAAAATAAAAAATCAATATTTTTTTCTTCAAATTTTAAAATATAAATTTTGTCACTAATAAAACAACATACTATTTATTGTGTAAAATTAAAAATAATTGCACTAATATTGTGTTGTATTTTTTATCTTTTTTCAGTTGTTTTAATAACTTTACATTTAAGTAAAATTAACACAATAGCAATTACATTAACACATTGTGTTAAATATTTAACGCGAAAATTTTACCGGATTATTTTTAATATAAAAAAGCAAATTTTCGTACTGTAAGAGTTTATATTTCTTATTCCACATTAGAAGGAAAGAGATTAACTTTGAATTATAGTGCAGCCAGTTCAGCTGAAAAGAACAGATAACCACAATATACACAAAAGTATGATAACATTACAATTACAAAAGATATAATACAATTAATATTTAAATAATGTTCTATTATTTTAACTGAAACCATTGTAAATTATTTTTATGAAATCATTAACAGTATTATATTGATTGATAAATTCTCAAGTACACGTACATTATTTTTCGCGCATACTTCTCCATATGTAAGTTTCGAAATTAATTTATATATGTAACTGTGGGATCTCAAATTGAGATACAGTTCCGAATAATTAATTTTTCGTTATTTGGCTCTATTGTCCGACTTAGAAAACATCATATTTATATTCTTTTTTTTTCTGATAGCACGCAATAACAGTACTTGTTATGATTTTGTTGGGTCGAATTGGCAATGGTTTTAGGACTGTACGAAAGATATTTTTGCATTAGGCGTCAACTTGAGGGCGCCAAGCTCAGAAACTGATATTTTTCTTCTATAATAAAATAAATAAATTTTATACATACTTATATCAATTTTTTTATTTGAAAATCTCTTTTTTGATTATTTGATAATACCTCTTTTGCATCTGTTAATCTCTATTTTTCTATTGTATCTATTATATAATTCCTATTAATATTTTCAATAAATATACAAAATTGAATATTATAATCATTATCTTCAAAATGTTATTAACATTTTATTACGAAAAAATATACATTTACTGTTAAAAAATTTCAAATAGATTCGTTCAAATAATTTTAATTTATACAATTTTAAATAAATAAACAAGAACCTAGGAGTCAGCTATATTATTTGTATAATTATAAAAGAGAAAACAAACTTTTATGTATAGGTATATTTTAATATAATTATCTTTAATGAATTCTTTTTAATATTCAGTACTTATGGTTAGCATGTAGAAGAAACAAACTAAACTGTTGAATTTTAATTAAAAACAATAAAATTTCTTTCCTTTTGCTCGTTGAAGAATATATGCACAAGAGAAATAAATCCTTACAGGTAAAAATAAAAAGAAAATGCTAAATATATAATTGCGTCGGGTTCTGCCGACGTTAAAGACGGCTCTACTTAAAACAAAGCTATAAAACCATCAGCCTGCGTGCCGGAAAGGATACTTGCGTTTGAGACATCGATGTGAAGTGTGGAAAAAAGTCACATTCGCCGAAATTTTGAAAGTGAAATCAAAACTGATAGAATTATTACAGTGAATTTTTTCAACATCGCTATAAAATTCTCCTGCAAACAAAGGCTTTATATTTCGAAGAAAAATGTGTCTTCCTCTTCTTTTCAAAGTAAGTAAAAATTCAAAATTATTCCCTATTATAATAACCTTTGCGGAAGTCCGGGCGCTCTATATATAAAATAAAATTCGATTAAAAAATTACAATTAATTTTTAACACAGCATATCCCAAAGATATTCAAAGGATATTCAAAGAATATCCAGAAAACATTCGGAACATTCAGAGAATATCCTGAGGAATTAAATTGAAATTTAATATTTTTTTAATCAATTTTAAATATAAAATTAAAATTCAATTAAACTTGAACAATTCAATTTATTTCGGAACATTCCGAGAACATTCTAAGGATGTTCGAATGTCCTCTGGACATCCTCTGAATATCTTTGAGATATATTGTGCGATTAGAGTTATATCGAGAATCGTCGCGAAATAGTTTCTTCCTCCCGGTTCTATCTTTAGCCTGTGCAGTTCGAAGCCTACATATAATCCTGTCTCGTCCTTCCCGAGTATATACGCGGGAGTGCGGTGAGACTCGAGGAATTCGTCGTTGCGCCGATCCCTTCTGACGCGCTCGGCACGCGAAATCTTACATCCCCTTTCGGTATATTGATTAGTCATCATTTACAGATGACCCCTACATTCTGCTGGATGTTCCTGCTGGCGTGCCTGGTGGGCCGTGTCGCGAGCGTGCCGCAGCCTCTCGTGGTGGACGCCTGCGCTCTGATCTGCAACTCCGAAGCGGAGACCGAGTCCAAACACGAGCGGGATCCATTCCTGTATCCCCGATACCCGAAAGTGGACTGTAAGCTTCAGTCCGACAATGATAAGAGCCAGGCGTGGGTTATCATGAGCAACTGTTTGAAACTGTGCAATGTGGAGTTGTCGGTCAACATGGAGGTTAATTGTTACGCTCTGAGAATGTTGCTTGCAACGAACCTGGGTTGCCACTGCGAGGATTGGAAGATGAAATTCTTGGTGAAGCAACTGTCGAACGACCTTCTCACCACGTTCTTGGACTCGCCTCGCGATAAGCTGATCATATGCCAAATTCACAAGGAGTTGTTCAACAGTACTAAGCTAGCAGTAAACAAATTTAGCAATTGCTACCCCGAGCAAGAAGCTGTTTCCGCTAAAAAAGAAGATAAAAAAGAAGATGATAAAGAAGATAAAAAAGAAGAAGAACCGGAACATCACATTAGTAGAAAACCCAATGTATCTGTAACCTCACCTGATGCACCAGTGAATCGATCAGAAAACAGAGAAAAACGAAAGACATCAAGACCGGACTCAAGACCAATAGATGAAGTCGTAACACCTTGTTGCGATGAGAATGAAGAGGAGGAACATGAAAGAGAAAAGAAAATAGAAGTAGAAGAAGAAGAAGTGATAAAACCGCAAAGTCCCACGGAAAAAGAAGAAGTTAAGATGTTTTTCCCCGTGAACGAAAATCCAGTGCCGGACGAATATAACGAATGCGAACTATGCATGTCTTAGTGTGAGCGTTCTAATTATAAAGGCGTATGCGACTGTAAAAACATCAAGAAAACGTGTGCCAAATACATAAAACAGCAAGTAAGTTAAATTTGCACAGCTTGCGTAAATTATTCGGTACATGGTGACTCGTTACGTTAAAACTAATTCTACTCGTAATCGGGGAGACTTCTCAGAAAGAGATGATCATTTAAAGCATGTACAATAATATTTGTTTTATTACTTGAATTGAGTTGTCTATTTATAATTTCGTAATTCTTCGTTTATAAATAATTTTCATAGGTTTCATAAATTATAAAATTATTATTTAGTAAAATTGTGTGATATGCATAATTTTAGGAGTTGGATAATTTGTTATTAAATATTAACAACGTTTCATTCTATAGCATTATGTAATAATAATTACAAAGCGTTAAATATATTGGTGATTATTTCGTTTTTGTCAAAAAGAAAAAAGATATTTGCTATTTATATACATATATTTATATCAAATTTGCTTTTTACATATACGATTTAAACTTTTTTATTTTAAATTGTATATTTATTAAATTATATTTTTATATGTATATTTTGTGCAACCAGCGCGCGAAAAGTCGCCTTTTCCGCACATGATGGGATTTTAGAAAGGGCTCCTTTTCCACGCATCGGTCACACAAAATATTGTAGCCAACATGTGCGGGTCGTAACATCGGCCGATCGTGTGAATTGTCACACTCGGCTTCGTGTCAGTTGCGTATAATTTTAATTTGGATAAAATAAAAAAAAAAATATTTATTAGAAATAAGAGAGTATAAAAAATAAATTATATTATACATAAATTGAATATACTAAATTGTGCCACACAACGCTCGATATGTTATTAACACATAAACCATAATTGCAAAATATTTAGTTAATAATACAAAACATAAGATTTTGCTTACTGTCTAACATGGATATAATCTCTTTAGGCTTAAGAATTCTACACAAAGTTCAGTTCACACGATTGGCATTATGCTTTATTCCGATCTATATATATATAGGATCAATATGCAGAAAACGCAAATAAATTGTCATTATCAATTCCGACACATAATTCGCCGGTTTGTTCTCAAATAACATATATATAATTTTCTACAGAAATATATAGTAATGTAACAAAAGAGCGGATATTATACGTATAGATAAGTATTAAATACGTTTTATTCATATCATCATATATGTTTACATTACTATTATAGCACGTTAATGACAATTAATTAATAATGACAATAATATAATTGCATTCCAAAAAATATTATCACACATTTTTATGACACAATTTTATCACATTAAAACACATTACGTTTCGATTGTATTCTAGACAAAAGGAATATATACCTTATATTCTGCATATTAACCTTTTATGAACATCTTTTAATAAATAATTTTTATAATAATAAAGAATTATCTTGCGACAAAAATTTAATCATTTTACTGGTAATGTGTATGTGTATTATATATATAGAATTACAAATAAAATTTTAGTTCCTTGAGAGAATTAGATGAAATACTTTTATGTTATATCCTGGCTGTTCTAAATTATATTTGAGTTGCTCTGTGATGTTCACTAATTAACAAACGATTAGCTGTTATAATCCGAGTTTCACGTAGGATGGCGTGCATTACCGGTCCATTACTGTCTCGTGAACGATAATAGTTCACCTGTCCTGGCGCTACAGATTAATAAATAACGCGATTTTTATAGGAGAAAAGGAAGAGATGAGTTTCGGCAAAATAAAAAATCAATATTTTTTTCTTTAGATTTTAACATATAAATTTTGTCACTAATAAAACAACATACCTATTTATTGTGTAAAATTAAAAATAGATGTACAATATTGTGTTATATTTTTCATCTTTTTTCATTTGTTTTTAAAATTTAACATTTAAGTTCAAGTAACACAACAGCAATATGTTATATTAACTCACTGTGTTACATATTTAACACGAAAATTTTTCCGGATCGTTTTTAACAAGTAAAAAGTAAAGACAAATTTTCCTACTGTAAGAGTTTATCTTTTATATTCCACATTGGAAGGAAAGAGATGAACTATGAATTATAGTGCAGGCAGTTCAGTTGAAGAGACCAGAGAACCACAATTTACACAAAGTTATGATAACATTGCAATTACAAAAGATATAATACAATTAACAATTAAAATAATGTTCTATTATTTTAATTGAGACCATTGTAAATTATTTCTATGAAATCATTAACAGTATTATATTGATTGATAAATTCTCAAGTACACATACAATTGTGTTGTATCTTTTCATGGGGTTTTATTAATTATCAATATTTTATATCTATATTAAAAATTTCTGGTGTTATATCACTCTTTAGCAACATTAAAGATAAGTAATAAATAACTTTAAAGCACCTTTTTCTCGACTAAACTGACTTTTTGTATAGCTGATCACTTAATAAGGTTTAAAAATATAGTCGAAACATTGTGATTGTAAAGTAATAAAAAAAATTTGCCAGTTTGGTCGAGAGAAAGGTGTTTTGAAGTTATTTATTCTTTATTCTTACTGGCGAGACTCGAGGATTGACACTGTTAATTAAACATAAGTATTTATATTTCTTTTGTGTACAGAAAATATAAATGATCTTTAATATTAAAAATCAATTGTGGAGAAGAGGCAAGAAATTGTTGATTGTAGTTTTCGAGAAATATATAACAGGCATTCCTTTTAAGATATAATATTTTTGTAATTTTATTTATCAATTAAACAAGAGGTCTGAAACAAATTAAAATATTTAGCATTTCTATGATTATTACTTTAATAATTATTGAGCATATAATTTATATTGTATCGTCACGAATATTTCGTTCAAGTATTACGTATATTGTTTAAGTATTTATAGGTATATCAAGAATTGTGTTCTGGTTGAAATCGATTCCCGACCTTTATTTGTTTGATAGCAAGCAATAACAGTACATGTTATGATTTTGTTGAGTCGAATTGGCAACTGTTTTAGGACTGTACGAAAGATATCTTGCATTAGGCGCCAACTTGAGGAGGGCGCCGAGCTCAGAAACTAATATTCTTCTTCTAGAATAAAATAAATAAATTCTATACATATCTACAATATATCAATTTTTTATTTGAAAATCTCTTTTTTGATTATTTAATAATATCTTTCTTGCATCTATCAATCTTTATTTTTTTATTGCATCTATATTATATAATTCCTATTAATGTTTTCAATAAATATACAAAATTGATCATTATCTTGAAAATGTTATTAACACTTTATTACAAAAAAAATATACATTTACTGTTAAAAAATTTTAAACAGGTTCGTTCAAATAATTTCAAATTATACAATTTTAAATAAATAAACAAGTACTTAGGAGACAGCTATATTATTTGTATAAATATAGAAGAGAAAACAAACTTTTATGTATAGATATATTTCAATATAATTATCTTTAGTAAATTCTTTTTAATATTTAGTACTTATTGTTAGCATGTAAAAAAACAAACTAAACTGTTGAATTTTAATTAAAAACAATAAAATTTCTTTCCCATTTGCTCGTTGAAGAATATATGCACAAGAGAAATAAATCCTTACAGGTAAAAATAAAAAGAAAATGCTAAATATATAATTGCGTCGGGTTCTGCCGACGTTAAAGACGGCTCTACTTAAAACAAAGCTATAAAACCATCAGCCTGCGTGCCGGAAAGGATACTTGCGTTTGAGACATCGATGTGAAGTGTGGAAGAAAGTCACGTTCGCCGAAATTTTGAAAGTGAAATCAAGACTGATAGAATCATTACAGTGAATTTTTTCAACATTGCTATAAAATTCTCCTGCAAACAAAGGCTTTATATTGCGAAGAAAAATGTGTCTTCCTCTTCTTTTCAAAGTAAGTAAAAATTCAAAATTATTCCCTATTATAATAACCTTTGCGGAAGTCCGGGCGCTCTATATATAAAATAAAATTCGATTAAAAAATTACAATTAATTTGCTAGCACAGCATATTCGAAAGGTTTTCATAGACTATTCAGAGAATATCCAGAAGACATGCGGAACATTTAGATAACATCCTGAGGAATTAAATGAAAATTCAATTTTTTAAATCTATTTTAAAAGTGAAATTAAAATTAAATTAAACTTGAACAGTTCAATTTATTTTGGAACATTCCGAGAACATCTTAAAAATGTTTGAATGTCCTCTGGACATTCTCTGAATATCTTTGAGATATATTGTGCTATTAGGGTTATATCAAGAATCGTCGCGAAGTAGTTTCTTCCTCCCGGTTCTATCTTTAGCCTGCGCAACCCCGAAGCCTACATAGAATCCCGCCTCGTCCTTCCCGAGTATTTACGCGGGAGTGCGGTGAGACTCGAGGAATTCCTCGTTACGCCGATCCCTTCTGACGCTCTCGGCACGCGGAATCCTACATCCCCTTTCGGAATATTGATTAGTCATCATGTACAGATGACCCCTACATTCTGCTGGGTGTTTCTGCTGGTGTGCCTGGTGGGCCGTGTCGCGAGCGTGCCGCAGCCTCTCGTGGTGGACGCCTGCGCTCTGATCTGCAACTCCGAAGCGGAGACCGAGTCCGAACGGGAGCGGAATACATCCCTGTATCCCCGATACCCGAAAGTGGACTGTAAGCTTCAGTCCGACAATGATAAGAGCCAGGCGTGGGTTATCATGAGCAACTGTTTGAAACTGTGCAATGTGGAGTTGTCGGTCAACATGGAGGTTAATTGTTACGCTCTGAGAATGTTGCTTGCAACGAACCTGGGTTGCTACTGCGAGGATTGGAAGATGAAATTCTTGGTGAAGCAACTGTCGAACGACCTCCTCACCACGATCTTGGACTCGCCTCGCGATAAGCTGATCATATGCGAAATTCACAAGGAGTTGTTCAACAGTACTAAGCTGGCAGTAAATAAATTTAGCAATTGCTACCCCAAGCAAGAAGCCGTTTCCGCTAAAAAAGAAGATAATAAAAAAGATCAAGAAGACGAAGAATCGAAACGCCTTCGTGGAAAACCTTATATATTTCTACCCCCACCGCCTTTCTTGCCTGATTATTATGAACAACGCCACAACTCAAGACGAGAGACCTTAGAATTTCGTGACGGGGATAACTTCGAATTCAAAGAGGAATATGAAACTACAAGGTTAGAAATAGAAGCAGCAGAAGCAGAAGAAAAGAGAAAAGCAGAAGCAGCACAAGCAGAAGAAAACGAAAGCGCGGAAGCTACAAACAGAATTTGAACGCAAATATTTGACACATTTTGGGTAGAATAATCGGTTCATGGCTCGTTACGTTAAAACCAATTCTAGGCGTAATCGGGGAAACTCCTCAGAAAGAAATGATTATTTAAACCATGTACAATAATATTTTTTTTTATTACTTGAATTGAGTTTTCTATCTATAATTTCATGATTTTTCGTTTATAAATAATTTTCATAAGTTTCATAAATTAAAAAATTATTATTTAGTAAAATTGTATGATATGCATGATTTTAAGAGTTGCATAATTTGTTATTAAATGTTAACAACGATTTAATTTATAGCATTATATAATAATAATTACAGAGCGTCAAATATATTAGCGCCAAATATATTATTTTGGTTTTATCAGAAAGAAAAAAAGAGAAAAGAGATTTGCTTTCTATATACATATTTTTAAATCTGTTTTGCTTTTTATATAAACGACTTTTTTTGACTTTTTTATTTTAAATTAAATATTTATTAAATTATATTTTTATATGTATTTATATTTTTACTGTCAGTTGCGTATAATTTGAATTTGGATAAAATCGAAATAAAAATATTTATTAGAAATATAAGAAAGTATAAAAAATAAATTACATTATACATAAAGTTAATATACTAAATTGTATCACACAACGCTCGATATGTTATTTACACATAAGCCATAATTGCGAAATATTTAATTAATAATACAAAACAAGATTTTGCTTACTGTCTAACATGGATATAATCGTTTTAAGTTTAAGAATTCTACACAAAGTTCAGTTCACACGATTATGCTTTATCCCGATCTATATATGTAGGATTGTGTGTGTGTTGATATGCAGAAAATACAAATAAATGTTCATTGTCAATCCCGACACATAATTAGCGGGTTTGTTCTAAAATAACATATGTATATTTTTCTAAAGAAATGTATAGTAATGCAACAAAAGAGCGGATATTATACGTATAGATATGTATTAAATACATTTTATTCATATCATCATATATGTTTACATTACTATTATAGCATCTTAACGACAATAATATAATTACATTCCAAAAAATATTACCACACATTTTCATGAAACAATTTTATCGCATTAAAGCATATTACGCGTTTTGATTGTATTCTAGACAAAAGGAATATATATCTTATATTTTGCATATTAACCTTTTATGAACATCTTTTAATAAATAATTTTTATAATAACAAGAATTATCTTGCGACAAAAATTTAATCATTTTACAGAAGTTTATGATATGTATGTGTATTATATATATAGAATTACAAATAAAATTTCAGTTCTTTGAGAGGATTAGATGAAATATTTTTTTGTTATATCCTGGCTGTTCTAAATTATATTTGAGTTGCTTTGTGATGTTCACTAATTAACCAACGATTAGCTGTTATAATCCGAGTTTCACGTAAGATGGCGTGCATTACCGGTCCATTACTGTCTCGTGAACGATAATAGTTCACCTGTCCCGGCGCTACAGATTAATAAATAACGCGATTTTTATAGGAGAAAAAGAAGAGATGAGTTTCGGCAAAATAAAAAATCAATATTTTTTTCTTTAGATTTTAACATATAAATTTTGTCACTAATAAAACAACATACCTATTTATTGTGTAAAATTAAAAATAGATGTACAATATTGTGTTATATTTTTCATCTTTTTTCATTTGTTTTTAAAATTTAACATTTAAGTTCAAGTAACACAACAGCAATATGTTATATTAACTCACTGTGTTACATATTTAACACGAAAATTTTTCCGGATCGTTTTTAACAAGTAAAAAGTAAAGACAAATTTTCCTACTGTAAGAGTTTATCTTTTATATTCCACATTGGAAGGAAAGAGATGAACTATGAATTATAGTGCAGGCAGTTCAGTTGAAGAGAACAGAGAACCACAATTTACACAAAGTTATGATAACATTGCAATTACAAAAGATATAATACAATTAACAATTAAAATAATGTTCTATTATTTTAATTGAGACTATTGTAAATTATTTCTATGAAATCATTAACAGTATTATATTGATTGATAAATTCTCAAGTACACATACAATTGTGTTGTATCTTTTCATGCGGTTTTATTAATTATCAATATTTTATATCTATATTAAAAATTTCTGGTGTTATATCACTCTTTAGCAACATTAAAGATAAGTAATAAATAACTTTAAAGCACCTTTTTACCTCGACTAAACTGACTTTTTGTATAGTTGATCACTTAATAAGGTTTAAAAATATAGTCGAAACATTGTGATTGTAAAGTAATAAAAAAAATTTGCCAGTTTGGTCGAGAGAAAGGTGTTTTGAAGTTATTTATTCTTTATTCTTACTGGCGAGACTCGAGGATTGACACTGTTAATTAAACATAAGTATTTATATTTCTTTTGTGTACAGAAAATATAAATGATCTTTAATATTAAAAATCAATTGTGGAGAAGAGGCAAGAAATTGTTGATTGTAGTTTTCGAGAAATATATAACAGGCATTCCTTTTAAGATATAATATTTTTGTAATTTTATTTATCAATTAAACAAGAGGTCTGAAACAAATTAAAATATTTAGCATTTCTATGATTATTACTTTAATAATTATTGAGCATATAATTTATATTGTATCGTCACGAATATTTCGTTCAAGTATTACGTATATTGTTTAAGTATTTATAGGTATATCAAGAATTGTGTTCTGGTTGAAATCGATTCCCGACCTTTATTTGTTTGATAGCAAGCAATAACAGTACATGTTATGATTTTGTTGAGTCGAATTGGCAACTGTTTTAGGACTGTACGAAAGATATCTTGCATTAGGCGCCAACTTGAGGAGGGCGCCGAGCTCAGAAACTAATATTCTTCTTCTAGAATAAAATAAATAAATTCTATACATATCTACAATATATCAATTTTTTTATTTGAAAATCTCTTTTTTGATTATTTAATAATATCTTTCTTGCATCTATCAATCTTTATTTTTTTATTGCATCTATATTATATAATTCCTATTAATGTTTTCAATAAATATACAAAATTGATCATTATCTTGAAAATGTTATTAACACTTTATTACAAAAAAAATATACATTTACTGTTAAAAAATTTTAAACAGGTTCGTTCAAATAATTTCAAATTATACAATTTTAAATAAATAAACAAGTACTTAGGAGACAGCTATATTATTTGTATAAATATAGAAGAGAAAACAAACTTTTATGTATAGATATATTTCAATATAATTATCTTTAGTAAATTCTTTTTAATATTTAGTACTTATTGTTAGCATGTAAAAAAACAAACTAAACTGTTGAATTTTAATTAAAAACAATAAAATTTCTTTCCCATTTGCTCGTTGAAGAATATATGCACAAGAGAAATAAATCCTTACAGGTAAAAATAAAAAGAAAATGCTAAATATATAATTGCGTCGGGTTCTGCCGACGTTAAAGACGGCTCTACTTAAAACAAAGCTATAAAACCATCAGCCTGCGTGCCGGAAAGGATACTTGCGTTTGAGACATCGATGTGAAGTGTGGAAGAAAGTCACGTTCGCCGAAATTTTGAAAGTGAAATCAAGACTGATAGAATCATTACAGTGAATTTTTTCAACATTGCTATAAAATTCTCCTGCAAACAAAGGCTTTATATTGCGAAGAAAAATGTGTCTTCCTCTTCTTTTCAAAGTAAGTAAAAATTCAAAATTATTCCCTATTATAATAACCTTTGCGGAAGTCCGGGCGCTCTATATATAAAATAAAATTCGATTAAAAAATTACAATTAATTTGCTAGCACAGCATATTCGAAAGGTTTTCATAGACTATTCAGAGAATATCCAGAAGACATGCGGAACATTTAGATAACATCCTGAGGAATTAAATGAAAATTCAATTTTTTAAATCTATTTTAAAAGTGAAATTAAAATTAAATTAAACTTGAACAGTTCAATTTATTTTGGAACATTCCGAGAACATCTTAAAAATGTTTGAATGTCCTCTGGACATTCTCTGAATATCTTTGAGATATATTGTGCTATTAGGGTTATATCAAGAATCGTCGCGAAGTAGTTTCTTCCTCCCGGTTCTATCTTTAGCCTGCGCAACCCCGAAGCCTACATAGAATCCCGCCTCGTCCTTCCCGAGTATTTACGCGGGAGTGCGGTGAGACTCGAGGAATTCCTCGTTACGCCGATCCCTTCTGACGCTCTCGGCACGCGGAATCCTACATCCCCTTTCGGAATATTGATTAGTCATCATGTACAGATGACCCCTACATTCTGCTGGGTGTTTCTGCTGGTATGCCTGGTGGGCCGTGTCGCGAGCGTGCCGCAGGATCTCGTGGTGGACGCCTGCGCTCTGATCTGCAACTCCGAAGCGGAGACCGAGTCCGAACGGGAGCGGAATCCATCCCTGTATCCCCGATACCCGAAAGTGGACTGTAAGCTTCAGTCCGACAATGATAAGAGCCAGGCGTGGGTTATCATGAGCAACTGTTTGAAACTGTGCAATGTGGAGTTGTCGGTCAACATGGAGGTTAATTGTTACGCTCTGAGAATGTTGCTTGCAACAAACCTGGGTTGCTACTGCGAGGATTGGAAGATGAAATTCTTGGTGAAGCAACTGTCGAACGACCTCCTCACCACGATCTTGGACTCGCCTCGCGATAAGCTGATCATATGCGAAATTCACAAGGAGTTGTTCAACAGTACTAAGCTGGCAGTAAATAAATTTAGCAATTGCTACCCCAAGCAAGAAGCCGTTTCCGCTAAAAAAGAAGATAATAAAAAAGATCAAGAAGACGAAGAATCGAAACGCCTTCGTGGAAAACCTTATATATTTCTACCCTCACCGCCTTTCTTGCCTGATTATTATGAACAACGCCACAACTCAAGACGAAAGACAGTAGAATTTCGTGACGGGGATAACTTCGAATTCAAAGAGGAATATGAAACTACAAGGTTAGAAATAGAAGCAGCAGAAGCAGAAGAAAAGAGAAAAGCAGAAGCAGCACAAGCAGAAGAAAACGAAAGCGCGGAAGCTACAAACAGAATTTGAACGCGAATATTTGACACATTTTGGGTAGAATAATCGGTTCATGGCTCGTTACGTTAAAACCAATTCTAGGCGTAATCGGGGAAACTCCTCAGAAAGAAATGATTATTTAAACCATGTACAATAATATTTTTTTTATTACTTGAATTGAGTTTTCTATCTATAATTTCATGATTTTTCGTTTATAAATAATTTTCATAAGTTTCATAAATTAAAAAATTATTATTTAGTAAAATTGTATGATATGCATGATTTTAAGAGTTGCATAATTTGTTATTAAATGTTAACAACGATTTAATTTATAGCATTATATAATAATAATTACAGAGCGTCAAATATATTAGCGCCAAATATATTATTTTGGTTTTATCAGAAAGAAAAAAAGAGAAAAGAGATTTGCTTTTTATATACATATTTTTAAATCTGTTTTGCTTTTTATATAAACGACTTTTTTTGACTTTTTTATTTTAAATTAAATATTTATTAAATTATATTTTTATATGTATTTATATTTTTACTGTCAGTTGCGTATAATTTGAATTTGGATAAAATCGAAATAAAAATATTTATTAGAAATATAAGAAAGTATAAAAAATAAATTACATTATACATAAAGTTAATATACTAAATTGTATCACACAACGCTCGATATGTTATTTACACATAAGCCATAATTGCGAAATATTTAATTAATAATACAAAACAAGATTTTGCTTACTGTCTAACATGGATATAATCGTTTTAAGTTTAAGAATTCTACACAAAGTTCAGTTCACACGATTATGCTTTATCCCGATCTATATATGTAGGATTGTGTGTGTGTTGATATGCAGAAAATACAAATAAATGTTCATTGTCAATCCCGACACATAATTAGCGGGTTTGTTCTAAAATAACATATGTATATTTTTCTAAAGAAATGTATAGTAATGCAACAAAAGAGCGGATATTATACGTATAGATATGTATTAAATACATTTTATTCATATCATCATATATGTTTACATTACTATTATAGCATCTTAACGACAATAATATAATTACATTCCAAAAAATATTACCACACATTTTCATGAAACAATTTTATCGCATTAAAGCATATTACGCGTTTTGATTGTATTCTAGACAAAATGAATATATATCTTATATTTTGCATATTAACCTTTTATGAACATCTTTTAATAAATAATTTTTATAATAACAAGAATTATCTTGCGACAAAAATTTAATCATTTTACAGAAGTTGATGATATGTATGTGTATTATATATATAGAATTACAAATAAAATTTCAGTTCTTTGAGAGGATTAGATGAAATATTTTTTTGTTATATCCTGGCTGTTCTAAATTATATTTGAGTTGCTTTGTGATGTTCACTAATTAACCAACGATTAGCTGTTATAATCCGAGTTTCACGTAAGATGGCGTGCATTACCGGTCCATTACTGTCTCGTGAACGATAATAGTTCACCTGTCCCGGCGCTACAGATTAATAAATAACGCGATTTTTATAGGAGAAAAGGAAGAGATGAGTTTCGGCAAAATAAAAAATCAATATTTTTTCTTTAGATTTTAACATATAAATTTTGTCACTAATAAAACAACATACCTATTTATTGTGTAAAATTAAAAATAGATGTACAATATTGTGTTATATTTTTCATCTTTTTTCATTTGTTTTTAAAATTTAACATTTAAGTTCAAGTAACACAACAGCAATATGTTATATTAACTCACTGTGTTACATATTTAACACGAAAATTTTTCCGGATCGTTTTTAACAAATAAAAAGTAAAGACAAATTTTCCTACTGTAAGAGTTTATCTTTTATATTCCACATTGGAAGGAAAGAGATGAACTATGAATTATAGTGCAGGCAGTTCAGTTGAAGAGAACAGAGAACCACAATTTACACAAAGTTATGATAACATTGCAATTACAAAAGATATAATACAATTAACAATTAAAATAATGTTCTATTATTTTAATTGAGACCATTGTAAATTATTTCTATGAAATCATTAACAGTATTATATTGATTGATAAATTTTTAAGTACACATACAGTTGTAGTGTATCTTTTCATGCGGTTTTTTTTTTAAATTATCAATATTCTTTTATCTGTATTGAAAATTTCTAGCGTTTTATCACTTTCCAGCAACTTTAATAATAAATATTTATATTTTTTTTGTATATAGAAAATAAAAAAATTCTTCAATGTTAAAAATCAATTAGAGAAGAGGCAAGAAATTGTTGATTGTAGTTTTCGAGAAGTATATATTATATATTTCATTTTTTTAAATATATTTTTGTAATTTTGTTTATCAATTAAACAAGAGGTCCGAAACAAATTAAATATTTAGCATTTTTATAATTATTACTTTAATAATTATTGAGAATATAATTTATATTGTATCGTCACGAATATTTCGTTTAAGCATTAACGTATATCGTTTAAGTATTTATAGGTATATCAAGAATTGTGTTCTGGTTGAAATCGATTCCCGACCTTTATTTGTTTGATAGTAGGCAATAACAGTACTTGTTATGATTTTGTTGAGTCGAATTGGCAACTGTTTTAGGACTGTACGAAAGATATCTTGCATTAGGCGCCAACTTGAGGAGGGCGCCGAGCTCAGAAACTAATATTCTTCTTCTAGAATAAAATGAATGAATTTTATACATATCTACAATATATCAATTTTTTAATTTGAAAATCTCTTTTTCGATTATTTGATAATATCTTTCTTGCATCTATCAATCTTTATTTTTTTATTGCATCTATATTATATAATTCCTATTAATGTTTTCAATAAACATACAAAATTGATCATTATCTTGAAAATGTTATTAACACTTTATTACAAAAAAAATATACATTTACTGTTAAAAAATTTCAAACAGGTTCGTTCAAATAATTTTAAATTATACAATTTTAAATAAATAAACAAGTACTTAGGAGACAGCTATATTATTTGTATAAATATAGAAGAGAAAACAAACTTTTATGTATAGATATATTTCAATATAATTATCTTTAGTAAATTTTTTTTAATATTTAGTACTTACTGTCAGCATGTAAAAAAACAAACTAAACTGTTGAATTTTAATTAAAAACAATAAAATTTCTTTCCCATTTGCTCGTTGAAGAATATATGCACAAATGAAATTAATCCCTACATATAAAAATAAACAGAAAATGCCAAATATATAATTGCGTCGGGTTCTGCCGACGTTAAAGACGGCTCTACTTATATAAAATCGAAGCTATAAAACCATCAGCCTGCGTGCCGGAAAGGATACTTGCGTTTGAGACATCGATGTGAAGTGTGGAAGAAAGTCACGTTCGCCGAAATTTTGAAAGTAAAATCAAGACTGATAGAATTATTACAGTGAATTTTTTCAACATTGTTATAAAATTCTCCTGCAAACAAGTGGCTTTATATTTGAAAGAAAAATGTGTCTTCCTCTTCTTTTCAAAGTGAGTAAAAATTTAAAATTATTCCCTATTATGATAACCTTTGCGGAAGTCCGGGCGCTCTATATATAAAATAAAATTCGATTAAAAAATTACAATTAATTTGCTAGCACAGAATATTCGAAAGGTTTTCATAGACTATTCAGAGAATATCCAGAAGACATGCGGGACATTTAGATAACATCCTGAGGAATTAAATTAAAATTCAATTTTTTAAATTTATTTTAAAAGTAAAATTAAAAATAAATTAAACTTGAACAGTTCAATTTATTTCGGAACATTCCGAGAACATCCTAAAAATGTTCGAATGTCCTCTGGACATTCTCTGAATATCTTTGAGATATATTGTGCTATTAGGGTTATATCAAGAATCGTCGCGAAATAGTTTCTTCCTCCCGGTTCTATCTTTAGCCTGCGCAACCCCGAAGCCTACATAGAATCCCGTCTCGTCCTTCCCGAGTATTTACGCGGGAGTGCGGTGAGACTCAAGGAATTCCTCGTTGCGCCGATTCCTGCCGACGCGCTCGGCACGCGGAGTCTCACATACCTTTTCGGAATATTGATTAGCCATCATTTTCAGATGACGCCTACATTCTGCTGGATGTTCCTGCTGGCGTGCCTGGTGGGCCGTGTCGCGAGCGTGCCGCAGCCTCTCCTGGTGGACGCCTGCGCTCTGATCTGCAACCCTGGAGCGGAGACCGAGTCCGAACGCGAACGGGATACATCCCTGTATCCCCGATACCCGAAAGTGGACTGTAAGCTTCAGTCCGACAAGGATGAGAGCCAGGCGTGGGTTATCACCAGCAACTGCTTGAAACTGTGCAATGTGGAATTGTCGATCAGCATGGAAGTTAATTGTTTCGCTCTGAGATCGTCGCTCGGAGCGAACCTGGGTTGCTACTGCGAGGCTCTCACACCCCTGAGTCCGAACACGATCCGCCTCAACGAGGATTGGAAGATGAATTTCTTGGTGAAGGAATTGGCGAACGACCTCGTCACCACGATCTTGAACTCGCCTCTCGATGAACTGATCATATGCGAAATTCACAAGGAGTTGTTGAACAGTACTAAGCTGGCGGTAAATAAATTTAAGGTTTGCGACCCCACTTACGGCAAGTTAGAAGCTGCTTCCCTTATAAAAGAGGATGAAGGAGATGATAAAGAAGAAGAAAGCAAAGATAAAAAAGAAGAAGAACCGGAACATCACATTAGTAGAAAACGCGATGTATCTGTACCGTCACCTGATGCACCAGTGAATCAATCAGAACACACAGCAAAACGAAGGATATCAATATCCGACTCAAGACCAGTAGATGAAGTTGTAACATCTCGTGACGATGAGAATGAAGAGAAGGAACATGAAAAAGAAAAGAAAATAGAAGTAGAAGCAGAAGAAGAGAAAAAAACGCAAGGTCCCACGGAAAAAGAAGAAGTTAAGGTGCTTCTCCCCGTGAACGGAAATCCAGCGCCGGAAGAACTGTAAGAAGCGACTGTAAGAACATCAAGGAAACGTATGCTAAATACATAAAACTGCAAAAAAGTTGAATTTGTACAGCTTACGTAGATTATTCGGTTCATGGTGACTTGTTACGTTAAAATTAATTCTACTCGTAATCGGGGAGACTTCTCAGAAAGAGATGATCATTTAAAGCATGTACAATAATATTCGTTTTATTACTTGAATTGAGTTGTCTATTTATAATTTCGTGATTCTTTGTTTATAAATAATATCATAGGTTTCATAAATTAAAAAATTATTATTTAGTAAAATTGTGTGATATGCATAATTTTAGGAGTTGGATAATTTGTTATTAAATATTAACAACGTTTCATTCTATAGCATTATGTAATAATAATTACAAAGCGTTAAATATATTGGTGATTATTTCGTTTTTGTCAAAAAGAAAAAAGATATTTGCTATTTATATACATATTTTTATATCAAATTTGCTTTTTACATATACGATTTAAACTTTTTTATTTTAAATTGTATATTTATTAAATTATATTTTTATATGTATATTTTGTGCAACCAGCGCGCGAAAAGTCGCCTTTTCCGCACATGATGGGATTTTAGAAAAGGCTCCTTTTCCACGCATCGGTCACACAAAATATTGTAGCCAACATGTGCGGGTCGTAAATCAGCCGATCGTGTGAATTGTCACATTCGGCTTCGCTTCGTGCATCAAACTTTCGCACTCTTGGCCGATTTACGATCCCCCGCACTTGTTAGCTAATATACTATTTACTGTCAGTTGCGTATAATTTTAATTTGGATAAAATCGAAATAAAAATATTTATTAGAAATTTCAGAGAGTATAAAAAATAAATTACATTATACATAAATTAAATATACTAAATTGTGCCACACAACGCTCGATATGTTATTAACACATAAGCCATAATTGCGAAATATTTAGTTAATAATACAAAACATAAGATTTTGCTTACTGTCTAACATGGATATAATCTCTTTAGGCTTAAGAATTCTACACAAAGTTCAGTTCACACGATTCGCATTATGTTTTATTCCGATTTATATATATATAGGATCAATATGCAGAAAATGCAAATAAATTGTCATTATCAATTCCGACACATAATTCGCCGGTTTGTTCTCAAATAACATATGTATATTTTTCTACAAAAATATATAGTAATGCAACAAAAGAGCGGATATTATATATGTAGATATGTATTAAATACGTTTTATTCATATCATTATATATGTTTACATAACTATTATAGCATGTTAATGACAATTAATTAATAACAATAATATAATTGAATTGAACAATAAATTGAATTGAATTGAATTGAATTCAAATTATCACATATTTTCATAAAACAATTTTATCACATTAAAACACATTACGTTTCGATTGTATTCTAGACAAAAAGAATATATACCTTATATTCTGCATATTAACTTTTTATGAACATCTTTCAATAAATAATTTTTATAATAATAAAGAATTTTCTTGCGACAAAAATTTAATTATTTTACAGAAATTTATGATGTATATGTGTATTATATATATATATATATAGAATTACAAATAAAATTTCAGTTTTTTGATAAGATTAGATGAATTACATTTATGTTATATTTTGTCTGTTTTAAATTATATTTGAGCTGCTCCGTAATGTTTTAATTAAACGATTAGCTGTCATAATTCGAGTTTTACGTGGAATGGTATGCATTACACTGGTCCATTACTGTTTCGTGAACGGGAACAGTTCACCTGTCCTCGCGCTACAGATTATTAAATTATGCTGTTTTTATAGGAGAAAAGGAAGATATAAGTCTCGGCAAAATAAAAAATCAATATTTTTTTTTTTAAATTTCAACATATAAATTTTGTCACTTATAAAACGACCTACTATTTATTGTGTAAAATTAAAAATAGATGCACTATATTGTGTTATATATTTCATCTTTTTTCAGTTGTTTTAATAATTCTATATTTAAGTAAATTTAACATAACAGCAATTTGTTATATTAACACTTTGTGTTAAATATTTAACACGAAAATTTTACCGGATTGTTTTTTACAAAAAAAAGTTTTCTATTGTAAGAGTTTATATTTTCTATTCCACATTGGAAGGAAAGAGATTAACTTTGAATTATAATGCAGCCAGTTCAGCTAAAAAGAACAGTTAACCACAATATACACAGAGGTATGATAACTTACAATTACAACAGATATAATACAATTAATATTTAAAATAATGTTCTATTATTTTAATTGAAACCATTGTAAATTATTTCTATGAAATCATTAACAGTATTATCGTATATTGATTGATTAATTCCCAAGTACACATACAATAGTAGTGTATCTTTTCATGCGGTTTTTTTTTTTAAATTATCAATATTCTTTTATCTGTATTGAAAATTTCTAGTGTTCTATTACTCTCTAGCAACATTAAAGATAAGTATTTATATTTTTTTTGTATATAGAAAAAAAAAGTTTTTTAATATAAAAATTCAATTAGAGAAGAGGCAACAAATTGTTGATTGTAGTTTTCGACAAATATATAACAGGCATTTTTGAACATATATTCTTGTAATTTTGTTTATCAATTAAACAAGAGGTCCGAAACAAATTAAAATATTTAGCATTTCTATGATTATTACTTTAATAATTATTGAGAATATAATTTACAGGTATATTGTATCGTCACAAATATTTCGTTTAAGCATTAACGTATATCGTTTAAGTATTTATAGATATATCAAGAATTGTGTTTTGTTTGAAATCGATTCTTCTTGACCTTTTTTTATAGCAAGCAATAACAGTACTTGTTATAATATACTTGGATTTTGTTGAGTCGAATTGGCAACTGTTTTAGAACTGTACGTAAAATATCTTGCATTTGGCGCCAACTTGACAAGGGCGCCGAGCTCAGAAACTAATATTTTTCTTCTAGAATAAAATAAATGAATTTTATACATATTTATATTAATTTTTTTTATTTGAAAATCTCTTTTTTGATTATTTGATAATATCTCTCTTGCATCTATTAATTCTCATTTTTTATTGCATTTATCATATATAATTCCTATTAATGTTTTCAATAAATATACAAAATTGATCATTATCTTGAAAATGTTATTAACAATTTATTACAAAAAAATATACATTTACTGTTCAAATATTTCAAACAGATTTGTTCAAATCATTTCAAATTATACATTTTTAAATACATAAACAAGTACATAAGACTCAGCTATATTATTTGTAGAAATATAGAAAAGAAAACAAACTTTTATGTAGAGATTTATTTCAATATAATTATCTTTAGTAAATTCTTTTTAATATTTAGTACTTATTGTTAGCATGTAGAAAAAACAAACTAAACTGTTAAATTTTAATTAAAAACAATAAAATTTCTTTCCTTTTTGCTGGTTGAAGAACGTACGCACAAGAGAAATGAATTCTTACAGGTAAAAATAAACAGAAAATGCCAAATATATAATTGCGTCGGATTCTGCCGACGTTAAAGATGGCTCTACTTAGGATCGAAGCTATAAAACCATCAGCCTCCGTGCTGGAAAGGATACTTGCGTTTGAGACATCGATGTGAAGTGTGGAAGAAAGTCACGTTCGCCGAAATTTTCAAAGTGAAATCAAGACTGATAGAATCGTTTCGCATTACTGTGAATTTTTTTAACATTGCTATAAAATTTTTCTACAAACAAGTGTCTTTATATTACAAAGAAAAGTGTGTCTTCTTCTTCTTTTAAAATTAGTAAAAATTCGAAATTATTTCCTATTATAATAACCTTCGCGGAAGTCCGGGCGCTCTATATATAAAATAAAATTCGATTAAAAAATTACAATTAATTTTCTAACACAGCATATCCCAAATATATTCAAAGAATATTCAGAGAATATCCAGAAGACATTCGGAACATTCAGAGAATATCCTGAGGAATTAAATTTAAATTCAATATTTTTTTAATCAATTTTAAATATAAAATTAAAATTCAATTAAACTTGAACAGTTCAATTTATTTCGGAACATTCTGAGAACAACCTGAGGATGTTCGAATGTCCTCTGGATATTTTCTGAATATCTTTGAGATATATTGTGCTATTAGGGTTATATCCCCCAAGAATCGTCGCAAAATAGTTCCTTCCTCCCGGTTCTATCTTTAGCCTGCGCAACCCCGAAGCCTACATATAATCCCGTCTCGTCCTTCCCGAGTATATACGCGGGAGTGCGGTGAGACTCGAAGAATTTCTCGTTGCACCGATCTCTTCTGACGCGCTCGGCACGCGGAATCCCACCTCTCTTTTCGGAATATTGATTAGCCATCATTTACAGACAATCCCTACATTCTGCTGGGTGTTCCTGCTGGTGTGCCTGATGGGCCGTGTCGCGAGCGTGCCGCAGCCTCTCGTGGTGGACGCCTGCGATCTGATCTGCAACTCCAGAGAGGAGACCGAGTCCGAACGCGAGCGGGATTCATCCTTGTATTCCCGATACCCGAAAGTGGACTGTAAGCTTCAGTCCGACAATGATGAGAGCCAGGCGTGGGTTATCATGAGCAACTGCTTGAAATTGTGGAGTTGTCGGTCAACATGGAGGTTAATTGTTTTGCTCTGAAATTGTCGCTTGCAGCGAACCTGGGTTGCCACTGCGAGAATTGGAAGATGAAATTCTTGGTGAAACAACTGTCGAACGACCTCCTTACCATGATCTTGGACTTGCTTCGCGATGAGCTGATCATATGCGAAAATCACAAGGAGTTGTTCAACAGTATTAAGCTGGCAGTAAATAAATTGAGCAATTGCTACCTCAAGGTAGAAGCTGTTTTCGCTAAAAAAGAAGATAATAAAAAAGATAAAAAAGAAGAAGAACCGAAACATCCTCGTGGAGAACCCGATATATTTCTACCCTCACCGCCTTTCTTGCCTGATTATTATGAACCACGCCACAGAGCGCGATCGTAGAATTTCGTGACGGGGATAACTTCGAACTCAGCGAGGAATATGAAATTGCAAGGTTAGAAATAGAAGCAGCAGAAGCAGAAGAAAAGAGAAAAGCAGAAGCAGCACAAGCAGAAGAAAAGAAAAGAGCGGAAGCTACAAACAGAACTTGAATATTTGACAGATTTTGGGTAGATTAATCGATTCATGGTGATACTAAATTATGCCACACAACACACAACGGTCGATATGTTATTAACATATAAGCCATAATTGTGAAATATTTAGTTAATAATACAAAACATAAGATTTTGCTTACTGTTTAACATGAATATAATCGCTTTATGTTTTAGAATTTTACACAAGATTCAGTTCACACGATTTGTATTATATTTTATCCCGATCTATATATGTAGGATCGATATGCAGAAAATACAAATAAATTTTCATTATCAATCCTGACACATAATTAGCGGCTTTGTTCTGAAATGACATATGTATATTTTTCTAAAGAAATATATAGTAATGCAACAAAAGAGCGGATACTATACGTATAGATATGTATTAAATACGTTTTATTAATGTCATCATATATGTTTACATTACTATTATAGCACGTTAATGACAATAATATAATTGCATTCCAAAAAATATTATCACACATTTTCATGACACAATTTTATCACATTAAAGCATATTACATTTCGATTGTATTCTAGACAAAAGGAATATATATCTTATATTCTGCATATTAACCTTTTATGAACATCTTTTAATAAATAATTTTTATAATAAAAATTAAAGAATTATCTTGCGACAGAAATTTCATCATTTTACAGAAGTGTATGATATGTATTTGTATTATATATTTATAAAGAATTACAAATAAAATTTCAGGTTGTTGAGAGGATTAGATGAATTACCTTTATGTTATATCCTGTCTGTTCTAAATTATATTTTAGTTGCTCCGTGATGTTCGCTAATTAACGAACGATTAGCTGTCATAATCCGAGTTTCACGTGGGATGGCGTGCATTACCTGTCCATTACTGTCTCGTGAACGGGAACAGTTCACCTGTCCCGGCGCTACAGATTAATAAATCACGCGGTTTTTATAGGAGAAAAGGAAGAGATGAGTCTCAGCAAAATAAAAAAAAAGAAAGAGATCTCTATGAAGAACGAGAGTCTCTCTTTCACGTTTTCGATGGTGATCACACGGCGATTCACAGCATGTGTATTCAGCGGTGATCATTAACCGACTATTATATGTTGCTTTCTCTCTCTCTCTCTCTCTCTTTCGAGAGAAAGAGAAGACTATTTTTTTTCTTAACAGTCACTAGATTCTCGACCGCTACAGGACAAGGAAGAGAAGGAGAAGGAGTTGGGAGCGGACGGATCTTTCAAGGCATTCAGCCGACACGTTACACTTGTTGGCCTCGCTTTGTTCAGGATCGTACGCCGCGTTACCGCGGCCATTATTCATCCTAAGGGGTTGTCTACCCGGATATGTGGCTTGATATGCGAGCGTCGGCGGTCCTCGCTACTTGTCAGTTCAAAGCGGAGAAATAATCCGGCTCTCCGATCGAATCGCTCGTTAACATCTCGGTGTACGCGCCTATCCGTTCCTTCTTTCAGCGTGTCATGGATGGAATAGCCGGTCCCGAACTTACGCAAGCTTACATAATCAGGCGATCAAGTTCTTTTTACAATAGTTACTATCAGTGTTTGCTGTTATCTAAATAAAATTATATAGATGATCATCTAGATGAAACTTTGATGCCATCTTATCTTTATATAAATAATAAAAATATGTATTATGTCTATATCTGCATCTTACAATTAGATGAAAAAAAGGTATTATTTTCTTTTTTACTAAATTATCTAGAATAATTTTAGATAATTTTCAGATAATTTTGGTTTAGAATCATAGCACATAAAAATACTTAAATAGTAGAATTTAAGCAGTAAGCGATAAAAATTTATAAATAACAATATGAATACATATATATGTATTTTTACATCTCTTTTATAATTTACATTTCTTTATAGCTGTGTTTACATAAGCACAATCTTATAAACTATTATCTAGAAAATTATCTAAATAAATCGCCATATAATTTTATCTGTTATCTAGATATATTTGAAACAAAATCATCTTTATCTTGTATAAGATGAATTTAAATATTTTATTTCATCTTTATCTAGCTAATTTTAAAATTATCTAAGCATAACCCTGGTTACTATATAAATTGCAACTGTTAAATTAAATAGAGCATATTCTAAATGTAATTTTCAGGAGGAAAATATATGTATTTTTCTATAAATACTCTCTCTGTATTCCTTCTATATCAGCAAACCGAAAGATGAGAGATAACTTTAATTTCCAGTCTCATTATTTTAGTCATTCCTTCTCGCGTATATATAAGCATGCTAATTAACACGCTAATCTATCGTACCGTTCTATAGCGATGTCCTTTTCCTCGAGTTTACACTGACCATTAAAATGGTTAAAATGGCATTCTAGACGCGAGATTCTAAACGGTGGTAAAATGGCAGGTTTAGCGACTTATTGAGCTAATGAGTTAATTACGAGCACTTGCGCACGTGCTATTTAACGCAGCGGTTGAGTGTTAGCGGTACGCTGTAATGAGAGCCGGTTTTTACCTGTGAAATGCCGCTTTGATCGCGCCGCACTAGTGGCGACACTAGTGCAGATATAATTAGATGGCTTTTATGCAAAACTAATTCGTGCGCAATTTTAATTATTTTGTAGTAAATATGATACGTGTGAAACTGGTATACCATTTCATAAACTTATAAATAGTTAAGAGTTTTACCTTTATTTTCGTATATTAAAATAATTATATAGTTCTTGATAGTTTAAACAAATGATTTTGCTCGTTAAACAAAAAATGCTTAATAATTTAAGATATATGTCAAGTTCATGCAGTATTTCTTTGTTCTTCTTTTTCATTATTTTTTGTCAGTTTTTTAAAGATTTTAAAAATTTTATGAGAATTTCAAAAAAATTTTTTATTTTTTTAACAAAAAATACATCAATTAAAATACGAGCAACCGCGTACATATATATACGTATCGAAGCGAATAGATGCTAGTCGATTATTAAATATATTTTAAAACAAATCTCGTATAATTCTGTACTTGCAAAAGATCTTTTATATACATAGATACGTATATCGAATTAAAATACTTTTTTTTTTTTATTTAGATAGAATATATTCTTGGATACCGATGTAATTCATGTTAACTAAATAATTGTTTCATTACTTCACGGATTATTCTATTATTTGACTGTCATTAGTAATCTTTTTTATTTTCTAATTAAAGTTAAAATTAGATTTCAGATTCTCTTAATTTTAAACATATTTATTGAAAAACGTGTGCAAGATAACGACGCTTTTTTATGTCTCAATATTGTTTGACTTTGCTTCAGTTTATTCATCTTTGCTTTTCTGTCTCGATTACATATATATGACTAGATTTACTGATCGTTGACACGCTCGTTGAAAAATGTGTACAAGATGAGATGGTTTTACTTTTCGTTAAGTTCTTATTTAATTTTAATTTTTCTATTTGGTTTTTTATTAAGTTTTATATATAAGAATCATCGTTTTATTTGTTTAAATTCTATGCCTTTAAAATAATAAGAAGGCTCAACTAATATAACTTTTGAAATTATTGTCTTACGTTCTTACGCTGATATTAGATTTTAGTACATGTTGCTTGTCATCGTTCGCATTGAATATATATTTACGAAACTTTGCGCGAGATCGAATCTGCAAATCTTACTATATATATGTATATATATATATATATATATATATATATATATATGAGCTGTATATTTTTCTCTTATACATTTTTAGAGATCGGAACTTTGTAATTTAAGATATGGCGCCGTGCCGATATTTACTTATTATTATAATATTCCAGAAATTGTTCCTTGTTGTTGCGAGTCTTCGAAGGGTGAGTAATTTTATAAACATCCAAGATTTCTATTCCATATTGAGTTCCAAGTCGCGATTATGCCGCGCGGTCCCGCGACGAGACGTCACGTAATCGCTCGACCTGCGTTATATGTAATCTGAAACCGCCGTTGTCAGTACGTGCGGAAATTTACAGATGAACGGATCGAATTTTTTATTTAATCGCATTTTTAATTATATTTAAACATATCCTAAGTCGATATTAATAATATATTGAGCTACAAAAAAAATAAATCAGCGATGCAAGAATTATAAAATTTATAAAAAATTGCAAAATTTATTTCTTATTTCTAATTGCTTTTAATTTTACAAATTTTGCCCCAATGCTACTTTGAAGCTAAAAATGCTTATAATATTTTAATAATAATTACAGTCCTTTTTAAATATAAGAGAGTGTCTTATAAATAATACATTTGCTGTATGTTTCGATTCCTGAAGTCCATTATGATGTCTATGGAGAAATGAAAGAAATTTTTGAAAGATATAACAATTTAATATTAAAGAAATTTTTTTGCAAAAATAATTTGTTATCGATTTTGAAAAGTAATTTAGTGTTGTTCAAAAAGTAAAAAGGTAACTATAAACGGTAACATTATTATTATTTAATTCTAATTATTAATAAAACCAATGGAATTTAATTACCGTCAATATTAACGTGATTGTAATTATTTATTGATATATTTTGATTTTTCTTTTCTTTAATTTAATATTTTAGTTTCTCTTTTCTTTGGTTTTTATTTTTTTTCATTTTGTTTTATATATTTTTTCTTATTTAATGTCAATTTATTGATGAATTAATTAATTTGTTTTTCGTAACTACAATTTGTGTGTTCATCCATTCTGAAAATATAAAACTTTTAAAAATTAAAAAATTTTTTTTATTTGTTGCAATTTTTTTATAATTACACAATTTTAAATATACATATATATCAATATCCTTATTCAAGTTAGCTTTCATTTCCAAAAACGCTTTCTTTCTTTTTAATATAAAAACCCTGCATTTGATGTTATTTTTTCCTATAATCGTTAATATTGAAAAAATTATAAGCAAAACTGTAAAAAGAAAAGAAAATTATTATGTACTTTATATATTTTTTATATTTGATATTAATTTATTAAATGATAATTATTTTCGAATTTATATATAATTTATATTTATTTATTTTTTCTAAAAGATAATAAATTCGTTTTCTGTTTAATCTAAAGATAATGATTAATGATTAATAATTAATAAAAGAATCTAAATTGTAAGATACAAATTGCGTAGAACCGTAAAGCTTGTTGACTTGCGTGTGCACACACACAGATACACCTAGATAAAAAGTAGATAATCTTAAACACATGGGGAATAATAATCGAACTGCAATTAATAAGTATACTAAAAGATATGGATAATCTGCATCCCACGGTGTGAGGATTATCAATTATGCGCGTCAAATACTAGTATAATCGGAGCCATAAATTATATTAATCAGTATCGAGCCCTAACGAGCAAAAGATATTCGGTTATCGCGTGCAATATTATACGAG